GACTACAACAAAAACTGATAAATCAGGTAACAACTTCCTTATCTCAATTAAATTGCTTGATTTGAGATCTCAAAAGGGGGCAAAATTTTAGATACAATTTACTGTTTTACCAAATTAAAGTCAAACATCTAAAGTATATTTATTATTTATCATTTATATTTGATGCAATAAGTAGACTATTAAGTTGAAAAATTAAAAATGTTATTTAAATCAACGTGTCAATGATAAACATGTTGGGACTTTTTCAAAAAATCGCTTGTCGGACACTTGTGTCTGTGTCGGTGCTTCTTGGATTGTCGGTACGATGTTTACATGAAACTTAACTATCATATTATTCAAAATTTGATCGATTTGATCGGTGATTAGAAATAACAGAATGTAATTTGAATATATCTTATGGATGTGATAATGAATATCTAAATAATTACAAATATTCTCCCATTGGTTTAACGCAGGATATGGTGCTTTCTTGGTTTAAATTATAATTAGTGGTGGATCTAGGTGGTGACCAGCTAAGGCGGCTTGGCTGGATCCTATGGAAGAAATTTTTTTTTTTTAACAATAGATTAAATTTTTACTTTATATTTCTGGTAATTGATCCTATTTTCAAACATCCTTGTAGCTCAGTTGGTGAGGGACGACATATACGTACTTGAAGTATCAGGTTTGAATCCCTTGTCAAGGGATTTGTAATATATTATTTTTATTCTATAAATTTTACCAAAATTCAATAGGAAGAGGGACAAATGAGGATTTGAATCCGTGATCTCAAGCAAGGGTTGTTGTAAGCTTAACCATTATAGTATCTCTTGAATTGTGTCACTAAATTTAACAAAATAATATTTGTTATGGTTTGACTGTTTTAATTCAAACAATTTTAAAGATTCAAATTCACACTCTTCCTTTGAATTATACAAAATTTGACAATAATGTCATTTGATGAATTCTATTTATTCTTATAACAGAATTATATATGTTTAGTTTGAACAAAATAATTGTTATATTTATACTTTAAGCCTTGTTCGATTCCTTTTTTTTCTTCAAAATACATTCTCTTTTTTATCATTCATATGTTCTTCAATAAAATAATATTGCACGTAAATTCAAAATTATTCTTTATTTTTAGGCACACTTTCTCCATTAAATCACTATTTCAAAATACATTTTTTTGCAAAAAAATGGATATCAAAAGGACTCTTAATATTTTATTGTGGCCCATGGTAGATGGTCAATGATCGCCCGTGTTGCCTCAAACTCCTGGATTCGCCCCTGATTATGATCACATTATAATTTATAACCACAAATTTTGTAGGACTTACAACTACTCAGTTATCCAACATGCATTTCCATCATATTATAATTTCAGCAACTTATAGGGCTTGTTTGATAGGGATTTCGAGAATTGATTTTTTGGCCATTAAGAGAAAAGTGGGGACCATATGTGAGAGAAGAATTCAAAATTTACGGCTGGAATAGTGAAATAACGGTCAAAAAATCAATTTTTTTTGGATAAAAAATCACTCCCAAACGGGACCATAATTTCTCCCATACAAGCACTAGTTAAGTTGATAAACAAGTTTGAAGGTTATATTTAAGATGGATGGAGATCCAGTGTTTATAGTAGAGTATGTATTTAGCTTATGATTGATGCTGATAAGTTGTTCATTCCCCTTCATGTTTTTGTGAAAGCAACCAGATGAAGTTATTATGTTATCAGTTGATTATCTTCACTCCGGCAAAGAATTAAATAGGTGATGTGGGCCACAAAAAATTTCAATGAACGTTATTTAATGTAATCATAACAATAAACTGAAGATGCTGAGAGAAGAAAGGATATTATTTATCTCCCAATTCTCATGGTCATTAACTGACAGTCGGTTGTGTTCAGTTTGTATCATTTTTTTGTGTTGAGCTTAACTGGTTTGAAAAAGTAGTAATTTATTTGCAATTGAAATCAAGGGGTGGTACACCTCTCCCATTCCCCATGATTTTTCTTGGAAATTTTGAGGTTTAAAATATTATAATTAAAATTGTTTGTTATTCAAGTTTTTATCCTCCTGAGAATTCGAATTCGTGTCTGTTTTGGGCAACCGTGTGGGTTTACATATGCTTTTGACATGCTTCATTGTAGCATGCAATATGGGCTACGGTTTACTCTTTGCCCACCCCCACCACTACGGTTCCCCATATTTTATCGATGCTTTTGACTTCCTTTATAATGTGGAATTATCATCTGTGAAAGTGCCCTGTAATATAAAATTTTTCCATTTTCGATATTTATTTTTTATTTGGATATACTTACCACTCTCTCATCTAACTTATAAAGGAAAATTTTCAGCTTCCCTGTCAATTAATGATATTTACGATGAGGTGATAAAGAAGGATGGTGGTCTTGGCATGGATTTAGAACGTGTCAGAGCTTCTCTTATCCAGCTTGGTTGTCAAATCCCCACAACTGGAATGGATGAAACATATAGCATTGGTACTTATACTTAATAGTGGAGAGCTATACTGTGGCTGTGGAATGTTTTAAATTTTGCTGAGATTAATGCATTCCATTTCTCTCTCATGTTTGATGCTATTGTTTGTCTACAGATTTAAAAAACATTATTGAACAGGCTCAAAATGAAGAGGTTCGTATTTTCCCTTCTTTCTTCTTTGGTCTTGTTCAAAAGGTTATGTTTGAAGTGTCTGATGTTAATTGTGTAATTGCAGGTGGAATCTGTTGTATTGAAAAGATATGGAAGGGAAGCCTATAGGATTTTCAGGTTACTTTCAAAGTTTGGCCGTCCTCTTGAGACTGACAAGGTATTGCAAATATTATAAATATATGAATATTTTTCTTTTGTGTATTAACAGGCCTTCAGAATTTATCTACAACAATGTACAATCATCACTATTTAACTGATTTTGCTGATCCGCATCTGTTTTGAAGTTTACCTTTTCCTAAAGATGGATTACTGTAGTAGGATAATTTTTTGTGTATGCATCAACTTTTGAGACATTTCAAATCACTTGTATTTTTCCTTTAGTCAAACTCACATATTTTACATTGATAAGTTCTTCTTTATCTCAGAAAGCATTTAGGCTCTTTTTGCCTGAATGCTATAGTTAAGCATCATTTCCAGTGTTATTGAATGTAGCAGAGAAGATCTCAATAACACTTAAAAAAATGTGCTATTTCAAAGATGGTTCTGTCATGCATTTCAAGTTTTTATGATGGGCAAAAGGTCTTCAGATATCTTAGAAACATGCAAATGTCTCGGAATGTGAATTTGGATTAGCTCTGTTAACATTTTTCTTCCAAAGGGTGCGTGCAAATAAGAGCTTAAAATTTGGATTTAATTCTCGGACATGGATCAAATCTCTAATGATAATTACTTTCAGTACAGAACTAATTGAAAGAATACAATGCTTGTTTAAATAGACATCTATAATATACAAGCATCTCCGTCTTCATATATCTTAAATGTCTGTATAGAATGAATTGCATTCAGTAATGCATGATCTAGTGTAATGGTTCCAGTTGAAGCATTCTTCAGCCACTATGCGTTACATCTGGAAAATGCTGTCACGCATTATGTAATAGCATGCTAGCATGTTTCAGCAATGCTACTTTCTTGAACAATAAAAGTTCTGTCTGCATTTTGGCCAGTTCTGTTGGGATTAGGCTTGTATTTGGTCCATAATTCTTTTACTTAATATTTCTGTTTTAGGTGCCTTGTTTTCTAGTGTAATAGATCATAGATTTTTTCATTCTTTTTTCTTCCCCCCATCTTGTTACATGGTTGGATTAAAATTTTTTTTTATCGTTTGCAATATTTCAGCAACTTTTTTGGTATTGGCCTTAGTGTGAATATGTTCATGTATAAATGTAAAATTTACTTGGTCAGAAAATCTTCTGGTGTATTGCATGATATATTGTATAATTTCTAAAATAGATTTCAGATACCACGTTCGTGGAGAAGAAAGATACATTGAAGATTCTATACAAGCTTTGGAAGGATGGCTACTTGCATATGGAGGTAACTTTTATCTCTTTCCTATGTTTCTAGAGAAATAGATGTTGTGTGCATTTATTTAGTTGCTGGTCCATGATATTTGTTGGATGTAAGCACCATATCTTATTGTTATAGCATAAATCCTGTTTTTACATATATATATATATGTATATATGTATATATATTGTGTGTGTGTGTGTGTGTATTAAGATAGGTGCGTTGTAGAACGAAAATTATTAAGATAACTCAGTAAATCTTTCTTAATTTCTTTGCTTAGCTTAGCTCCACTTCTAAATTTACAGTGTGGGAGCATCAACCATATGTAGTTTGGTCACCATGATGCATTATGCGACTCCCATCCATTTCAGTCCACTTTGTTTTTATCCCTTTTCATTGACAACCTGCATATATTCACATGTAGGATCACCAGACATACACAACATATATGGCCATTCGATATATATAGCTTGTATCACTGTTAAAGATAAGTTCTTTATTATTTGGATTATAGGTGTTTGTATTCTAGTCGAAGGTAGTGTATTTACAGTAATAAAAAAACATTCCGAGTATCTAATGGTACTAGTATTTGTCAATGTTTTGAAAATCGGTCCAATTTTTTAACTCGAAAAAGGTAAATGGTTAACAATCGAAATGTCTTCTAACCTGGTCATGACGGTTATTGAAAATAAATTACTAAATATACCACAAAATTTTGACAAAAATGTGTTAAAAATTTAAACTTAATTCTACATGTAGACAAAAACATTCAGTAAACTTAGCTGCATTTAGAGCACGTTTAAGCACATTTTGTAGGACCTACAACTTTTACCTACTTTTTAATTCCTTGGGATCCACTGCTTGCAATAATAAGTTTGACAAGCATGCACTTAATTTAATTATGTCCACTTCTAATACCAATAGAACTCCAGACAACAAATATATACTAAAGCATTAATAGATGAACTTCTTAGATATTTATATGACATCCCGCCTTTTGTTATGCGGAAAAACTGTGATGATGAGTGTAAAAATTGAAATATAAAAGAAGAACAGGATACTAGAAAATTTGTTCATTTAAAAGCTTTGAAAGCTCTCAAACACAGTTCTTTTAATAGTTATGCTCTTGTGCTCTTTTACATTTGAATTTAGATTACTTGTTCTGTTTGTAGGTAGAGTTGCGGAATGCAGTTTCTTTACTTATTTAGCAAATGGATGAAACTTTGAGTTTAAACTTACAATGTTGAGATTCTCAATGCAGAAAGTCTCAGTAAATGGACCTAAACAGACACTGTTTTTGTTGTGGGAAATAAATAAGGAGTCTCTTTGGGTACTTGTTCTTGATGAAATGTACCATGCTTCATTGAACTTGCGACTGCGAATCACCTATGAGCTAGATCAGGAAAAAGAGGTATGTTTATCTGCAAAACAACTCTTATTATATTCTTTTCTTCTATGTACATCTTGTAATATTATCAAACTGTAATCTCTTCTCCGGAGTTCTTATGATGACACGTTCCAGATGATACTAACGCCATTGTAAATTCGCAATTGGTAACACTATGCTAAAAACATGGTAAACCGGTGTCGGGAATGCTGAAATTGGCTATCTTAACCAGTTTTCTCCCCAAGCTTTTCTAAGTTTTTTGAGAAAGCATGTTTGGCTAAATTTAAAAATAAATTAAAGTTGCTTTTAAGTAATTTTCTTGACCGTGTTTGGATAAGTTAGCCTTTTCTTACTTCAAGTAAAACACGTTTCTTTTTCCAAAGTAACTCAACTAATTCTCTTATTTTCTTGACCGTTAAGAGTTATTTACAGGAGTTGTTTATTTATAAATAACATTTTAAGCTTAGCTAAATGTGATCCAAAATTGCTATAGGAACACAATGCTGAAATGAAAAGAGATGCCCTTGGAGAAAACTAATTAACTGTTGTAACTTCAATTTTGTATCTTGGCATGAATTATCCTATTTGCTGACACTTTCATGTAACCTGTACCAGATTCTTCAGTTGCCTAAAGAAAAGCTTGTCGGGGAACTGGAAAAAAGATACAAGCGTTTGGGAAAAGTTAGGATTATTCTAGAATCTTCATTGATGAATCTTGATGGCGCTCTTCTGCTCTTCCATGATTTCTGAATACAAGGCTAGCATTCTTACCCCCCCCCCCCCCCCCCCCCCCGT